TGTCTTGGGTGCTCTTCTGTAGCCACGTACACTCAGGCAGGACCCTGCAGAATCTGCTCTGCGCACCTCAGAAGCCAGAAGGAAGCTCTGGGACTTAGATGGACATCACTGGACCAGCCATGCCGTGTTGCCTGCTGTTATATCTCACTCTGTTTCTCCTGTTCCAGGCCTTGCGAAGCTTCAAGCTGACAGTCACTGTGGATCCCAAGTATCACCCTAAAATCATTGGGCGGAAGGGAGCAGTGATCACCCAGATACGCACAGAGCATGAGGTCAACATCCAGTTCCCCGACAAGGATGATGAAAGTCAGGTGAGAGGTCAGAGGGGGTGCAAGGAGGGCTGCTGGTTGTCTCTGAGCATAGAACACACAGCATCTTCTCTACGGCTTTGACCTCCCTTTGGATAAAGTGGAGAGTAAAAGGGATTATCAGGGAGAAGGCTTGCTCAGCTGCTTATGAGCCTGGTCTCTCACACATTTCCCTGTGCCCCAGGCCCAAGACCAGATCACCATCACTGGCTATGAGAAGAATGCCAAAAAAAAACACCATCACTGGCTATGAGAAGAAGGCCGAGGCTGCCCGGGATGCCATCATGAAGATCGTTGGTGAGCTGGAGCAGATGGTCTCTGAGGATGTGACTCTGGACCATCGTGTTCATGCACGCATCATTGGTGCACGTGGTAAAGCCATCCGCAAAATCATGGATGAGTTCAAGGTGAGCAGTGGGACAATGCTACAGGTGGGACAGGCTGGGGCGGGGGTGGTGCCGCTTGCTCCTGTGCTAAGAGCTTGGTAGCAGCTTGGTGCTGGTGGCTGAATTCAGGAGCGTGAGGCTCACATCTTGCGGTCCTTGTGTCTTGTGCCTGTTTAGCACCTTCAGCTGGAACAGGCGCAAAGGAAAAGCCAGTGCTGTCCTGCTCACCTCCAGCTCTGTCACCACAAGCGTGTGAACAGAATCCCTGGGCCAGGGCACCCTGGTATGCCCTAGGCAGCTGGGCTATCTGGACACCACACCCAGACACCAGCTGAAGCATCCCCACAGGACCTGAGCTGTGAGTCGCCCTTCTTCTGGGGGCCAGGCAGGGAGGAGGCTGAGCTCTTCCTGTCTTGCTGGAACACAGCCAGAAGAGGAACCTGGAAATGTGGCCTTGATGCTCTGGGTTAGCCCTGCAAACAGCACTGAGCTCTGTCCCTCAGTGCAGTCCTTTTAGTGGGTTTCTTGCAGACACTGTCCTGGATGGTCTTCAAAGGGAGGAGGTGGTTATGCCAGCTGCTCCGATTACTGGAAGTGGACAGTCAGGCCTGTTGCTGGGGGCCTCTGGGAGGGGCCTGTGCCCAGACGCCCTCAGCTTGAGCTTAACTCAAGGAAATCCTCTGGATTTCTTTGTCTCTCTAGGCCACTGTTGATTCCCTTGACTTTGGGAATCTCGACACACTCCCAGGGCTCCAGATTTGGCAAAGTCAGCCGACTCTGGGAAGGGCAGTGACCTTTCTCCCTGACAGCCTGTGGCAGTAGAAGCATGCTTTACTATAGGGACAGTAGTGAATGTGAATCCAGAGTGATGAGGCTTCAGAGACTTGCATCTTGGCTGGGCTCAGTTGTTGAAACAAGCTGTTTGGTTCCCAAATGAGCAGCCTTTGGTTGTGGTCCTGTCTTGTGTGGCTTCGCTGCACCCATCTGGAAGGCAAGCTGTCAGAGAGCTCAGTGGCTGTGTACAGGGTACACTAAGGCAGCTCCATAAAATGATTGTCAGCCAGGATTACTCTATCTGTGGAGGAGACAGAAAGCTTATTGTGCTTCATGCTAATGGCTTGATGGTGAAAATGCTTGCCGCAGTGTGAGGACACTGTCTGGAAATGCAGCCCTCTTCTGCTTCTGCTGGAGGTGCTGCGCAGAAAGCAGTGGTCCTCTGGGCAGTGAGAACAGCAGGGGCTGCTGGAAGGTGGGTTGTTACTGCGGACTGTTCTGCCTGCCTTCACGGGGGAACCAGACAGGCTTCAGGGCCAGGTATATCCCAGTGCACCCCCCAACATCTGAACTAGGGAGGTCTTAAACAGACTTATGGCAGTGAACAAATCAGGGAATCTAATGACGAGGATCATGAGAAGTCTGTGGCTTTTCAGATGTGCAGGTGTAAGTCCTGACCTGTTCCTTGTGTTGCAGGTGGATATTCGCTTTCCCCAGAGTGGAGCTCCTGACCCCAACTGTGTGACTGTGACAGGACTCCCTGAGAACGTGGAAGAAGCTATCGATCACATCCTGAACTTGGAGGAGGAATATGTAAGTGTTCAGCAAATCTGTGCAGGGGCTTAGCAAGGATTTCCTCTGCCATAGAGCTAAATGTCTGAAATATCTCTGTGGTATTTTCTACCACTGCATTGGAGAACTCGAGCCCTGTGCAGGTGGCAGTCAGCCCTCATCTGCAACTGTCCCTCAGACCAACTGGGTGCAGAGCCCCAGGCTGTGCTCTGTGAAGCAGAGGTCTGGCCCCCCCCTCCAGGAGGGGACAGTAAATAAGAATGCTGGGACACCACCAGGATGTGCACATGACTGCCTTGCTGCACCTTGCATCAGTTAGGAGTTGGTGGCCCTCAACTAATGCAGAAACACTGTTCAGTCATTGGTAGAACAGGCTGGTGACCTTGGACGGGTTGCAGCATGGTGAGATGGGGGGGGAGGTGTGTAACACCAGTTTGAGGAACTATCAAGATCCCCTCCTAACTGGGCCGTGTCACTGCAGCTTGCAGATGTGGTGGACAACGAGGCAATGCAGGTGTATATGAAGCCCTCTTCACATGAAGAGTCCAAGGCCCCATCCAAGGGCTTTGTGGTGAGAGATGCCCCCTGGGCCACTGTCAACAACGAAAAGGTGAGTGCTGCTTCTGCTACACGCCTGGGGGCACAGGGAGTGTGGCACCCTCTGCTGAGGACCTATTCTGAGGTCTGGCCCTCCTATCTCGGCTGGGGAAACAGAGCACTCTCCCTCCCTTGGTGGCAGAGAAAGCCGTGAAGGGCCCTCCTCCTCTTTGTGGCCCGTGCAAGCGGAGGGCAGGCCTGGGCTCTGCCTCTCCAGCTTCCAAAGCACTGCTATCTCTTTCTTCCAAACATCTTGACCACACTCAACTACGCCACTGTGGAGCTGTTGGGGAATAGGGGACCCTTACTAGAAAGTGTCCTGCCAGGTCATGTTGTTTTTAGGGGTAGGGACAGGGCCCTGGGACTTCTGACTCTTCTGCTGCAGCACAGAACCAGCTCAATGTTTGCAGCTGTGTTCTGGCTGGGAGCAGTGAGCTGGGACATGTGGCAGCTCTGTCCTCAGCTGCCCCAGGGCTGCTGCAGGACTGGCCTGACCCCACCCCAGTGACCGAGTTACTGAGATTGGGCCCTCAGAGCCCTTGATCCGCCTGCCATTTGCTCCTGTCTGCACCCTCCTAACTGTCATCTCTAGATGGCTCAACCTTCCACCCTGAGCGGTCCTAAGGACATAATGATCCTTTTTGGCCTCACCCATTGTATCTGCTCATGGGACATCAGAAATGCTTCTTAGCTCAGGGGCGCACCATGCAGGTTTGCAGCAGGGCAGGAGCTTAACTTGTTCCCTTTTTGTTTGCTCTAGGCCCCTGATATGAGCAGTTCTGAAGACTTCCCCAGCTTTGGGGCTCAAGTGGCCCCCAAGACTCTTCCCTGGGGACCCAAACGATAATGACCTGGAAGCAGAAACATCTCCTCCAGCCCGCTGACCTGACACTAACCTGCCACAAATACTTCCTGTCTGAAATCTGACCCAGCGGCTGGAGCACAAGTCACTTGCCCCAAGAGGTCTCCTAATGGTGTCTGGAGTGCTAGACCCCATCCTGCTCCCCTCAGCTATCACCATGGCTAGGACCCACCCTCATCTCTTGATGGATATTCTTTCCTCCTTTGGAACAAGACTTCCACTCAGATTCAAACACTAAATGTGCGTGTTTTTGTTAGAAACTTCACAATTGACTCAAAGTGGCTAAGATTTGCAGCTTCCCAAGCGCTAGCAGAGCAATCTGCTCTCTTGAGCATGTCTTACTAGGCATTCTCGCCTTCATTAGGAGACCTCCTTTACTGTGGCTAGGAATCTACTTCCTGTCTCATGACCTCAGGAAATAAATTTCCTTGACTTTCTAAAGCCAAAACGTTTGCCCTCTTTCCTTTGTGTTTATCCCAGGCCTTACCTTACCTTTGTAGAGTGCAATCAACTTTTTTCCTTTTAACTGCCAAAAATTCATTTAATGCTGATAGCTGACTGTGGGGAGAGCTTAAATCTAAAAGGTCAGAAACTTGCTTTTTAAAGGAACAAAACCTTCAATAGACTGTAGAGGCAGCAGAGATGGAAGGTCCAGAACAATGTACGGCTGCCCTGGTCAGGCAAACATCTCTGAGTGCAGCGCGTAGCGAGTGTGCCCCTGCGCCACACCAAGCACAGCCCCAGCCTGCACGCTTGACGAGTCTTCCAGCGCGTGATGACAGACCCCGCTCCTAGTTCCCCGCGTTCCCTCGTTCACCCTTCCCAACGGCCAACAGTGTGAGCAGGCAGGCGAGCCAGCACATGGCAATATTACTGGATGGGACAGATTTGGGTCGGCCAAGGTTGCTGCGGTGGCATGGCCCAGGAGAAGCTGGTGGGAAGCACAACCTTGAGAAGCTGTAGTCCTCTGCTAGCACTGCAGCATCGAGGCATGAGCGGTAGGGACACCTATTACTATTGCCTTCTTTCTACCTCAAAAGTCAGTACGATGGTGGCCTCTCAGTGTGAGTGGATAAGCAGCTGTTCCAGCTCTTACCCTGGAACCCAGAGCAGAAGCGTGGAGGAAAAGCAAGAGGAGCCTTTTGTCTCCGAGTGGCTGTGGGAGCTCCTCCGGAGGGAAGCTGAGCGCGGTGACGATGAGGCAGGCTGTGAATGAGAGATCCGTAGGACTGCTTGCTGCGCTAGAACAGGACTTGGCCCCAAGGCCATAGGCACAGCCTTGCTGCAGCCCTTGGCTCCAGAGGTTGTGAGCCAGGCTTCTGCTCTGATGGCACTGGGGGGGCTGATGGCGTGGTGTGTTGAGCCCTCCCCGAGGCCTCCGTCGTATGGGCGGTAGAGGGTGATCCATGCTCTGTACTCTGGGCCGCTTACGCCTAGGCCCTGCCACGGTTTGCTCGAAGGGGGCTGTGTCCAAGCTCCTCCAGCCAGTAAGAGGAAAACCACGTCTTTGTGGAGGGAGGCAGGGAGCGTGGAGTTTCTGTGTTCCCTCCTTCCCCTGCCTCATTCCTACAGAGGTTGTAGTCTGAGCCATTCCTCTATCCCAGCTGCTTCAGCTCTTGGACAAGCAGGAGTCCGTAGCCTCTCTTCTCTAGTGCTGCTTACGAAGCAAAGGCCCAAAACTCTGGCAAGGCGAGGCCAGCGTTCTTGCCTTTCCCTCTGTCCAGCAGGCCTGACATGCCGACGCTTCTCCTTCCCATGCCAGCTCTTCTTGGAAGAGGCTGCTATGCAGAAGTTGAACCAAAACCTCACAGTGCTCTCCTTAAGTTTGAGAAATGACTGAAGCTGACCACGGCCCGTTGCAGGGCACCTGGCTGCCCCCGAAGGACAGGGTGGCCTTGCCTCCAGCACGGGAGACAGGGTGGGTCAGACAGAACTAGGGTGACACCCTTGCATCTGCGTCTGTCAGAAAACGGTTATTACCCCTGTAGCTTAGGTCTGTCCTATGTCACCAAGCCTATTGCCCCCCTCTTCCTCTTTATGGCCCCTGTGCCCTCACCAGTTGCACAGCTAGGCTTGAGTTACATTTGGGGCACCACTGTCTGGGCTCGTGCCCCATAGCCCGATCCTCCACTCTAAAGAAGGTCATGAAGTGATTGTACCTAGTACTGTCCCCCCACCACCCTCCTTCCGCAGCAGACTGTGGCATGTGTCCATTTCCTCTCTTTGACGTCTTCCATATTGTACGTTTCCATAGCAATGATCCCTTGGCCTTAACTTTGGAATTTGGAGACTATATGCAAACATGTAAAAAGGCTCATGAGTATGGATGACACTGGAATTTTATAAATTCTAAAATAAAACCTGAAACAGCTTGGAGTGTCACGGATATTATTTCTACTGGTGGGTTGAGGTCCAAGGCAGCCCTTGCTTGGCTGGATTTAGCCCGGTTTGAGGAGTTCCAGCTTGCACACGTGAGCCCCTGCTGCAGCGATGCCTTTGCTGAGGCGGGACTTGCGCAGCAAGCGGCTGGGTCGAGGGAGGAGGCGAGAGCAGGGCCGGGCAGCGGCAGAGGCTGCACCCTCCTTGCGGGGAGGCACCGACCTGCTCGCACCCAGGGAGGTGGTGCCGGGGGCGCTGCCAGTGTAGGGGAGGGAAGGGAGGCACCAGCCATGGTCCCTCTTGCTCACCTCCTCCATAACCAGCGCCTCTCGTCTGCCTTTGCAACTGGCACTGCTGCACAGCACCCACCAGCTGGGGCCAAGCTGCTGCTCTCCGATAGGCGATAGAAGCTTGCTCTCCGATACAAGCTTGGCTCAGGGGCTGCCGTGTCAGAGCGTCACAGCATGCCTCTCAAGTTCACCCGGTATCTCCATAGCTCTCCCCCGCCAACAGCAGCTCAGCCATTCCCACTGTACCTGCTGGTGCTGGCAGGAGCAAACCCTCCAGCCGTGGTTACATCCAGCACGGGTGGAGGCAGGAGAAGCAAGAGCCAGTGCGGGAGGCCGTAGCCCCACCTTCGTTTGCCCCGAGTGGCAAGCAGAGCTGCGGTTGCGCTGACCCACCGTGCAGCTGCTGTGGGCAGGCGCTGCCTGCACTAGCTGAGCACAGCCCAGGGATGCGGCGTGGCCAGCCTCCTTTAATTCGCTCCGTGCCAGGTTGTTTACGCAGCAGTGGAGTTACCTTGCGGTAACGCCAACAAGTTTGGACAAACACCCAGAGCCAGCTGCGTGCCTCCCCGCCTTTAGCAATAGCCGTCCCCAAATGCCCATGTGCCGGCCGGGCGGGGAAGGCATGCCTGCTGCCCTGTGGCTCCAGGCTGGCCCAAGGAGGAGCTGGTTGGCAGCCCTTCGGTCCCAGCACCGAGCCATGGGCCTCAGGGCACACCGTGGCGCTCAGCTGCTGGCGAACTGCTCCGTTTCCCAGTCCCTACCCACGGCTGGATCCGTGATGCTGGCCTTGCTTCTTGTCTCCCATCTCTCCAAAAGGACCTGAACCACAGAAGAAGGGAGCTGGTGTTTGCACTAGTAGGAGCTGCCGCAACTCCTTACAGGGCTGCCTTCTTGCTTGCCTGTGCCTCTGCGCAAATTTAAAGCAAAAAAGGCTTTAAAGGAGGAGGCGGAGGAGTGGCCACAGCCCACCTTGTTCTCAGCCAGGGCCTCCTTGGCCAGGTACCAGTCACGCTTCACCTTGACCTCCACGGACTCAGGAATGTCAGGTACCAGCCATGCAATCACACGTCCGATAAAGAAAACCACGCGCTGGAAGTGAGCCAACGTGCAGGTTGGCC